TTAAGGGAAAAATAAAAAAAAAAAAAAAATTAACATTAAAAAAAATTTTTTTAAAAAAAAACAAAAAAAAAAAAAAAAAAAAAAACCAATTTTTTTAGGCCTTTGGGTGGGGTCGGGGGGCGGTTTACCGCCCAGCTCAATCCCCCCTCTATCCGTCTCTGCTTATAAGAGAAGTTCTACAATATTTTGATTATACCAAACAGAGTAGCCAAGAAAATTACATATAATCGAGCAAAGTTTCATTTACTGATAAATATAACAATGATCGAAAAGAGTAACAAAAAATAAAAAAATTCATCCAATCAAAAGAAGTTTCACGAGTCGAAAGTGACTCAAGCAGACAAAATCACCTAAATTTATGCTTCTTAAAGAAAAGCAATCCAATAGACTCTAAACACCTTTCACATTGAGGATTATTAATGAATCGTTTTGACAAAAGTTAAATCACCATATTTCCCACTACCCAAATCACTATAAGATAGAATCATAAGTCAAACGAAAAGTCGAGTGTGCATTGACCATTTTGGTCATGTAGGGATTAGATTAACATACCATACTTTCAAAGATAAATGTATTCCTCGAATGAAGAGACGTGTTAAAAATAAAATAAATTAAATATATCATCTTCTCAACCGTGTTATCGATATCTTGTGTACGATTTCAAAGTGATTGGTATCCGTCAATTTCTTATAGTTGCAAATAAATAAAAAATAACTAGATAGAAGATCTACAAAGATGAGGATTTTATTTATACCGTTGGAATCCTATCGTAGTTAAATGTCAACCGTCCAAATGTCCCTCTCCACATGAAATCGCAGCATTTGGTCATAACATCCTTTTATGAATTGGTGCTACAAATTCATTTAACATAATTATTTAAATCAATATTAATTATTAGTCACTATATAATATGGTCCAAATTTCCAAATCTTGATCAACAAGCATGAATGCATGCATGCAATTTCATCATTCACATACACATACATACACACACATATATAGAAAGAGAGCGCGCGGCCCCCCGGGGCATATCCAAGTTGGCGGAACAATCACATTGGAGGGCTCTGGAACCAAGCGTGGGGAGTTCGATTCCTGGAAGGTACAACTTGGAAGGCAAGATTTATCTTGGAAGGCAAGTTGTTATAAAGCAATGAAGAGGCTCCTTTTGGGGAAGGAGTAAAAGCCGTGTGGGAACTTGGGAACCAACAAGGGCACATCTCGCGATTTACCTCCCTGAGCTGCTGAGGGGTCGGAGGTTCAGGGACGAGGATACAGTCTGGCGCAAGTTGGGACACCTCGTTAAAAAAAAAAAAAAAAAAAGAGAGAGCGCACGCTTTTGTCTTGTTATATGTGTGAGAGAGAATTCTTGATTTTCATTTTTAACGACGGGAAATTTTGCTTTGAAATTTATTTCAACGAGTCTTTCTTGATTAAATAACCCACAAATAACTTATTGTAACAATATTTTGAGTCGTTAAAAGTGAGATTTCATGTAGTGGGATTTTGTATCAATATATCGATTAACATAAGATATTTAGAAATTATATTTAAAAGATTTGTGCCCATAATTGTTAGATTTTCTTCTTAAATCAAGATGTCTATGATATTGATCCTCTTAAAATGTCTATGATAATTAAAAACATGTTTATATGTGTTTAAAAAGAACTTAAACTTCTACTTTTGCTTGGAATTTAAAGTTGTGTTTAAAATCTAATTAACGTGAAATGCTTAATTTTAAGAAAAATTAAGTTCTAAGGTGCTTTTAAAACAACTGAACAATCTCTATCGATTATGATCTTGTATTTTTAAAAATTTCCATTTAGATCTAAAATGTTGATTATCATATAAACTTGAACTAATTTTCAATTCTCGATATCTTTTGTGAACATTTCTAAATCACACGTTTAAGGCAATAAATAAATGAATAAATAAATAATAATAATAATAATAATAAAAGAGAAAAACATTGCATCTTCTAGAATAGAAGGAAATCGGGGATCCAAATTATTGCTTAGCTAAATTTAGATAGCAATTTGTTCCTTCCTCCATGATTTGATCTTCAAACCAATGAAATTTGAACACATATATATCTCTAATGAATAGTTCAAATTTAAAAATTTAAAAAGTAATATATATTCCTATTCCGAGTGCTCCTAATAATTTGTTCAATTGTTCTTTGGCTTTAACTTAGAAGCAAGCAATTGGGTTTGTGCCACCTGTTGTTTTGGGCATTTAAAAGATTGGGTTCTTTATTAGGTTTTAATGGAATTTCTAAGTCCGAGAAAATTTTTCTACTTTTAGGTCAACAATGGGTGCACAGAACTACCAACTTTTGCATATCCAATTAATTTTTTATCTACTTTTAGCAGTAGACATTAGACAATATTTACTTTATTTTTTTGACCCATTTAACTTTAAAACGAACATATATTAGGCCCCGTTTGAATCACATTAATGTAAAAATGAGAATGAAAAATATAGTCGTTACGAGTCCCACATATGAGATAGAAAGTCAAATATGATGACTTAATTTGATGAATAACGATCATATATTTTATTTTAATAGACAAATAATGAGAGACAAACAAGGGCTAAGGTCTTATAATTTATACACGATTTCTTGCTGAACAAAAATATTTCTGAAGTTCTATCATGTTAGCAAGTCATAAAAGAAAAAGATGAATCGAAAGGAAAATATAAGGTTACTGAAGATAGAAAATGAGAATTATGTAACTTTTGATTACAGATTTATTGCTCCATTTTTTAATTAAAAATAAGGATTATATTACTTGTACATAAGGAATTTTTAAAAAAATGATGCAGAGGGAAAATATTAAATGAAAAAGTCAATTACATTTTAAATTGAAAAATGATAGAATAATATGTGACATTGTGTGATTCATTATGTAAAACATAATGTATATGTAGCAATGTCCAATAAATAGTACTAACAATGGAAAGTCTAGTCCCTTGGGGCATAGTCTAGTGGTACAAAAGACAGGGATGAGATTATCTCATGCCTTGCTGGCAGTCGTAGTGTGGAGGTTTCATTCCTGAAACATGGAATTGGACTCCTTATAGGTGCGGTGTACAGACAACTCTTATTCCTTGACCTGTTGGGGTACATTCTGCGATTTACCTCCCTCACAAAATTTTAGGTACGAAGCGAGTGGGGTCCTCAAAGTTGTGTTCAACCTTCAACAATGGAAAGTCCACACCTCGATAATAAAAACACAAAAAACAAAATAACAAAAAGACAAAAGCAGCAAATCTAGGCTTACCTAATAATAATATATGCTACATTGTTGCATGGAAAGCGAAGTTGGTACCCTATGTATTAAATATTGTAAATCAAATCTAATACATAGCTGTATGATAGAAGAGCGGCGAGCAAAGGACGAACCCTTTGGACAACCCGCAGTCAAACAAGCACGGCCCGGAGCAAAATGAGTGAAAGTGTTGGGAAAAACATTAATATAATAAGAATTTTTTTTTTTAACGATAACAGGTCCCAAAACACAAATAAGGATGATAAGGAGGTGGAGAATCCCATATCTAGCGAGAAATTCCCTCGACTTAATCAAGGATGGGCTACCAAATCACTCCTGAATTGGAATGACGATAATGTTCCATCCCGATTTAAGCCTTTTTCACAAAAACAAAAAAAAATGATAAAATTATATTTTATATATTTTAAACAATGCATCATATTCATAGATAAAATAAATAATAAATACTGATTAAAAGGGAACAATGCATCATATTTATCGATTACAAATTTATCAAATTAATTGATCGCGAATAATTTCTCGGTCACAATTTAATAAATTGTGGGTCATAATCACATTTTTTAAATATATATTATTTATTGATCACAAATTAACCAATTTATTGATTACAATTAACTAAATAATTGGTTACAAACACCCCATCCCAACCCCACCTACGACCAACATCACCAAATGCACAAAATCACCACAATACACATAGTAACGCAAAACCACCTCAAAAACTATTAAAAAGCCACCACTAATCACCACAAACCATCACAAAACAATACAAGTTGCTGCATGTTTGCCACTACAGTGGCGATCTGAGCTCCCTAGCTGCTGCTTTGGCCCTCACAATCTCGTGGTCCCGATGAAGAAAGAAAAGAAAAGATGGTGAAGAGATAGCACCACTAACTCCATAATAGAGGTGCTCAAAACTGAGTGTCGCTACTTCGACCCTCATGGAGGCGTCGCTCCGATAAAGAAAGAAAAGAAAAATGTTAGAGAAATAGAGCACAGCTACTGCTGAAGCATAGATCGTCGCTACTCCCGCTTCTTGGATTAATTTTGTGGACTAACATAATATAATAACAATTATCATTTTTGGGCCATCTATGGGATTGACACCATTATACCACTTGTCATGCTTTGGGCCCTTGGATCCATTCTTCTTTCTTATCCAAGCCTACTCATTGGGCTTGTGGGCCACCAAAAGGGTGTGTGTGTATATATATATATATATATAGGTGTGTGTGTAGAGAAAAAGATTGAAGAATTGGATTCAAAAGAACCCTAGCCTCATCGTCTCATTTTCTATCAGATCTGCAGGTTCTTTATTTATCTCCCATGACTTCTAATTAAGTTTTGCCAATCATTGGAGGTATATTTTCTTTTATTATTGTCCATCACATGCTATGATTATGAGAGGAGTTTGTCAAATCCATTGATTTTTTAGCAATTGGTATCAAAGCCAGCCTTCTCATTTTTATTAGCTGTTTTTCTTTTCTTATTGCAAAATTGATTTAAGAAAAATTGATAAAGAATCAAAAGCCTTCCATCAAGATAGAACAATCATGTGCTTCGCGAATCATGTAGATCCAGCCAATGTCCCTAAAGAATTTTTCTACCCGGATACGTCAAAATGGTATAGTACAGATGTATGCCCTGAAGACTACATTAAAGAAGTCTGTAAATGCATAATCAGTTTCACTGACAATATTCCTGGGCTTTTGAATATTTTGACCACCTAATATACATGGTACACTTAAAAATTATCCCAAACCAAAGAAAATGACAATGGGCATTATAGGGATCCTACATTAGTTTAAATATAAATTTCCTTAAGCTGCAAGAAAATGACATCATGGATTCTTGTTTGACCCATCTTTTATGGCTGATAACTTGCTCAATTGTTTACCCCTTACTCATGATCTCTACCTAATTTTTCACCCAATTTAACCATATTTAAATTATGGAAGTTATAAATATAAAGTAAATCAACAATTTAGAATTGAAGGGGATTTGAAATTTTGAGTGCTCCAGTTCTAACAAAAAAAAAAGGAGGAGAATAATGTGTATGAATTTTGTGATATTACTCCATACTTGTTAATTGGATAAAAAATGGATAATCTCTTTTAAGATGAACAAATATTTTGTCAATGTGGGTTATATCATCTTGTTGTAATATTGATGGTGTAGAGTGACTATATACTCACCTCTCGTGGGACTAATCATGATAAAATTATCGAGATTATTGTATTGTTTATTCTTCCGCTTAATGACATTATACTGAGATCCATGCGAATAGTGAATTTACTCTTTCGATAAATCATTACTTGGTAGGATGCTTAGATTGGTGAAGAGAATGTATGAAATATTATGAACTGACATAATTTTACTATCCTATTGATAGTTAATTGATGCGTTTGGTTGTGATACTAAATGTATTACTCTTACCTGTAAATGAGTCAATGGACTCAAGCATTTGATGATTACTTTTGTGGATTATTTAAGAAAGTTGAAGAAGGAGTGAATACCATGATCATGTCTTTCACATGCATATTAATGTCGCTCTTGTGTTTTTCTTCAGCTTTGGGCAATCCTCAATTTTCTGCTATTCTGAAGCTAAATGGGACTAATCACAAACAATGGGTTCAATCTCTCATGATAAATCTTACCATCATGAAGTTGGACTTGGCCTTGAGAGAGGACTCTCCTTCTAAGCCCATTGCTGAAACTTATGCCGATGAAAAGAAACTTTATGATGACTAGGAGTATTCAAACCGATGTTGTTTAATGATCATAAGGTATCACATGGAGGACTCTAGACATGATAGCATTGCAAAGATTGAGACTGCTAAGGCATTTCTAGAAGCTATCAACAAAAAGTACAAAAAGTTCTCCAAGAATGAAAAGAATGAGCTTCTAAGCTCTACATTCCACTATTTATGATGGTGTCAGTGGAATTAGAGAGCACATTGACAAGATTGTGGCCTGTTATCACAAAATCAAGGCAAATGGTATGGAACTTGATGAGGATTACATTTTGTGGTTCATTAAGGGGACTCTTTTCTCACAGTTTGACTCCATTAGGTCCAGTTACAATGCTCAGAAAGAACAATGGACCATAGAGAAGATGACTACAATTCTTGCCAAGGAAGCGAATAACATAAAAATGGGAAGGGCAAGAAGTGTGGCTATGGTAACGAACCAGAACAACAATGATCAGAAAAGAATGCCTCTACAAAAGATTACCAATGACAACAAGCCCTTCAAGAAACATAACACAAGCAACAAAGCGAATGGGCAAGGAGCGCTCTTAGTTTCTAATGTTCCCAAGAATGAGGGCTTTAAAGGAAATACAATTACTGCCAAAAGTTTGGGCACAAGAAGGCAGATTGCTTAAAGCTCAAGGCTAGAATGGAAAAGAAAGGTAATCTTTTAGTGAATGTTTGTTTGGAGTCAAATATTGTTGATATGCCTTCTAATACTTGGTGGTTAGACACTGGTGCTACAATTCCTGATACCAATTCCTTGTAGGAGATGACAAGCAGAAGGGAACCAACTAGTATGGAGCACCATGTATATATGGGAGACGGTACAAGAACTGAAGTTAAATTTTTGACAGTCAAATTACAGCTTACCACTAGACATTTTTTCGAGTTGTATGAAGTTGCATACATACCTTCGATTAGGAGAAATTTAATATCCGTGTCTATTTTGGATAGAACTGGTTACAGTTTTCTTTTGGGAACTGAAAAAGTTATATTGTACCGTGACTCTGCTTTGATCAGAAATGGAATTTTATGTGGTAATATTTATAAACTTGATTTGGTGGATGTGTCTTTTTTTGCTTTTTCTTCTTCTTCTCTTAATACTGTTGCTACCACAAAAAGGTCACGATTGGATGAAAATCTTCCATTCTATGACACAAGCGATTAGGCCATATTTCAAGGCAATGAATGGAAAGATTGATAAAGGATGGAATTCTGCACAATCTTGACTTCTCAGACTTTGAAACTTGTGTTGACTGCATAAAAGGAAAATTAACTGTCAAGGTTAGAAACAACAAAGTTGACAGGTGTACATAATTACTTGGATTGATCCATACTGACATTTGTGGGCCTTTCACTTCTCTAGCTATGGGTGGTTACAAGTACTTCATCACTTTTATTGACGATTTTTCCTGTTATGATTTTGTTGTGCTCATTCGTGAGAAGTCTAATTCTTTGGAGGCCTTTAAAGCCTTCAAAGCAAAGGTAGAGTTTCAACAAGGGAAAAATATCAAATTGGTTCGTTCTGATAAAGGTGTGAGTATTATGGGAGATATGATGAAACGGGATGGAATCTCGGACCTTTTGTAAGGTACCTACATGAATGTGGCATTGATACTCAATATACAATGCTTGGTACACCTCAGCAAAATGGAGTTGTGGAAAGAAGAAATCGTACATTTCTTGACATGGTGCGATGTATATTGGCAAACTCTTCCTTGCCATAGTTCATATGGGGTGATGCTTTGAGAACTGCACCTTATATTTTGAATCAGGTGCCTAGTAAGTCTATACCTGAGACTCCTTATGAGTTGTGGTCACAGAAGAAACCCACTTTGCGTCATTTTCATGTTTGGGGTTGTAAAGCAGAAATAAGACCCTACAATCCACAATCTAAGAAACTTGACCTTAAGACGGCCAGCGGCTACTTTATTGGTTATTGTGTGGGGTCGAGGAGATCTAGGTTCTACTGTCCATTGCTTACTACTAGAGTTATTGAATCATATCGAGCAATCTATTTCAAGGATGACACTGGTACAAGCCAAGGGCTTAGAGAAACTGTGTTCAGACAATACCCAGTTATTGTCCCTGTGTCTATCGCTTCCGTTCCAACAATTGGCCCTATGGTTAATCAGCATCCAGTAGCTATTCAGAATGAACATGTTGAACAAGTAGCACAAGAAGCTCCCGATGTAGCCATAGAAGATGCACATTTAAGAAGATCAGAAAAAGTTCGCAGACCTGCAATCTCTGATTACTACATTGTCTACTTGCAAAAGCATGAGTATGACATTGGCGACACCTCAGATCCAACTACCTACAAGGAAGCCATCTCTAGTCCTCAATCCAATTTTTTGATGAATGCTATAAATGATGAGATGAACTCTATGTCACAAAATGAAGCATGGAACTTGGTAGAATTACCAAAAGTTTGTAGACCTATTGGTTGCAAATGGGTATTCAAAACCAAATGTGATGTCAAAGGTCTAGTGGAAAGATATAAAGCAAAGCTAGTAGCTAAGAGCTATAGCTAACAAGAGGGTATTGATTACAAGGAAACCGTCTTACCTGTTTTGACTAAAGATTAGTTACGAATCATTATGGCAATTGTGGCACATTTTGACTTGGAATTTCATCAAATGGATGTAAAAACGACTTTCTTGAATAGAGATTTAGGTGAAGATGTCTACATGACTCAACCTATTGGTTTTGAGGTAACTGGAAAAGAAAACATGATTCGTAAGCTCCAGAAGTCAATTTATGGGTTGAAACAAGCTTCAAGATAGTAGTATCTCAAGTTCGATAACATTGTCATTGCTAACGGTTTCAAAGAAAATATTGTTTATCAATGTATATACATGAAGGTCAGTGGGAGCAAGTACATATTTCTAGTCTTGTATGTTGACGATATCTTGCTTGCTGCTAATGACACTGACTTATTGTTTGAGACAAAACAACTATTGTTTGGCCATTTTGAAATGAAAGATCTTGGTGTAGCATCATATGTCTTAGGCATACAGATTCTTTGTGATAGGGCCAAGGCCAATGGTGTTCTCAGATTGTCTCAACGTACTTACATTGATCGTATCTTGAAAAGGTTCAATATGCAGTCTTGTTCTTTTATGAAGACTCCAATTGTGAAGGGCGATAAGTTCTCGAAGGCACAATGTCCTCAAAATGATGTTGAGAGAGATAAGATGAAAACAGTCCTTTATGCTTCCGTTGTTGGCAGCCTGATGTATGCTCAAGTATGTACACGTCCTAATTTTGCCTTTTTGGTTAGTATACTTGGTAGATACTTGAATGATCATGGTCAAAGCCACTGGAAAGCGGCTAAGAAAGTTTTGAGGTACTTTCAAGGTACTAAGGATCTCATGTTGACATATCAGCGTACCAACACTCTTGAAGTGGTCGGTTTCAGTGATTCCAATTATGCAGGTTGTGTGGATGATAAGAAATCCACTTTTGGGTACATCTTTATGATGGAAGGAGGAGAAAAGTGTTAAACAGACACTTATAGCTTTTTCGACCATGGAGGCAGAGTATGTGGCGTGTTGTGAGGCTACTTGGCATGCAATGTGGCTACGAAACTTCATTTCAACATTAGGAGTTATGGACTCTATTTCGAGACCGTTGAAATTATATTGTGACAATTCTGCAGTCATATCCTTGTCTCAGAATACTAGGAGCACTTCTCGCTCCAAACATATTAATATCAAGTTCTACTTTGTCAAAGAGAAAGTTGTAGAGTCCCTCATTACTATTGAGCACACTCCTACGAGCAGCATGTTGGCGGACCCACTAACTAAGGGCTTACCTATTTGTGCGTTTCAAGAACAAGTCTCCTGCATGGAATTGTTGGGAGCCTAATTTCTTTGTTTCAGTGGGAGTTTGCTATTCTTTGTATGTTTTACGAGGATTGCTTTAATTTTAGTGTAATTCATGCATATTATGAATGTATGTCACTTTTTTATGATACCATGTGTCTTTGTGACTATGAGAAGGGTTTGTCAAATCCATTGATTTTTTAGCACTGTCCTCACATAGGCGTCGTATCACTGAAGAAAGAAAAAGAAGCGATGGCACAGAGAGATAGAGAGAGAACGGAGAAAGGGAAAGAGGGAAGAATAAAATGAAAATGGGTTTGAGGTACGGTGTGGTGAGATTTGGATAAATTAATTAATTTTATAATGCTATTATTAATATTAATAGTTGAATTATCACTTAATTTATGAATAAGTAAACCTTAAATCTGATTTTTGAAATACAATCTTTTAAAATCTGAGTCAGGGTAATTTCCACGTGTTTTATACTTGTTCTTAGAGGGTCCACTGTTCAATTATTATCTAATAAAGGCCCAATAACGAGAAAAAAGAAAACCCAATTAAGACCCAATAATGTAAAAGCACAATTCAAGGGAAAAATTCATATATCCTAGCGTAAGTATAGGTGATTTCAAAACTAAGATGACAAGTATGAATGTGCAAAAATCAGAAATATAAAACAATCAATTAGTTTCCTAAAAATCAACGTCCACTTATCTTCAAAAGCCGGATTCCATATATACATATATATATATATATAGATAGAGAGAGAGAGAGAGAGAGAGAGAGAGAGAGAGAGAGAGAGAGATGTTTCGTTGTAGTTAGTCCCTAAAATCAAGCATCCAGATTCAACTCCCTAAAATACTGAATACACATTTAAATCCCTCAACCACATAATTAATTAATTATATATTTTATTAATTAAATATATTAAGGTCACATATCTATACAATTCAGTAACGGATTCATAATTTAGTTAGTCACATATTATTTTCCGGTCACAAATCATAATTTTTAAATATCACAAATTATTCTACGGTCACAATTCAAAATTTTATTGATTACAATTTGTTCATCGATCACAAATCAAAAATTAATACGTCACAATTTGTGTATCAATCACAGATCACAAGGTCACAACTTATTGACGGTCACAAATTAATATTTTTTTAGGTCACATTGGTCAACATTTATCTTTATCTGTCACTTATTGTTTATTGGTCACGGATTAATCAATTCAATGGTCATAATCAAACAAATAATCTGTGACCACCCCAACCTTTATGAAAACCACTGCCTCCAACAATATCACCGCCATCATTGCCCCCAGAACCATCACCTGCACCGACAGCAACATCGTCTCCTCCCTGATGTACTCATGCCCAATGCTAGATCGAAACCTAGAACTTAGCCAACATCACCAACAACTCACATCACAGCCATCACCATCACCAACATCCTGACCACCACAGTCTCACCACTATCATGATTAGCACCGAGGCCGTCGCCACACCAGCTAAAAAAAAAAAAAAAAAAAATTCCCAAACTCAGCATCGTTGCTACCACCATGATGAAGATAAATGAAAATTTAATCCATTTTTTTTATTCTAATACAATCATTTTTATTAATAAAACTAAAATGGACACAGTAACAAATGAAATCCAATAACTAGCTTGCTTCATCATTCGCAAAGAACGGATGAACCAAAATTATACCCAATATTTTGATATCGTTAATGCCAGTTTGGATTGCCATGTGATGCACAATATTGGCTCCGATACTGTCACCAACAATGAAAATCCTATCAAAATCTGCATAATCGTTAAGCATGGATCCGGACCTTGTCCACTGGCGTGCAATTTCACTCAATTAATTGCCTTCCAACAAGCCTCATAACATGCCAGAAGAGCGTGTTCCGGTGCCAATCTATATTCAATAGACACCGTAATAGCCTTAGCTTCAGCTGCCAGAGTATTGACATAGTTGTGGTATTGCAAAGAAAACGTAGAGTTGAGAGTAAAATCGCCGCCGTGGATATAGATAAGGAATAGAAGCTTTTGACTGTGAGCAGTAGCACTTTTGGGGAGGAAAAGTCGCACTAAAACAATATTTTTTGACGAGAATGAGAGAGAGAGAGGGGACGAGTGGAGAGAGAGAGGAGAAATTGGAGAGAGAATATAATTAATTGGAGATGATGGATGGAGAGAGAGAATACAATTAATTGGAGAGAGGAGGAATTGGGGAGAAAATATAATTAATTGGAGAGAGAGGATTGGTGAGGGGAGAAATTGGAGAAAGAAATTGATTTACATAATTAATATTTAAATATAAAAAATCTAATTTTTGAAATGTTAAACTACTCATCTTATTTTTGAACCCTAAATTTTAACTATAGGGTTTTTTGTAATAACCACACAATTCAATGAAGAATTTGATTTATTAAATAATTTTCAAAATTATTATTTAGAAAAATAAAATAGAAAATTATTAAGAAAATGTGTAATTGGGAATTATTTCGGTCAATTTTTGAAATTAAAAGAATATTTTAGAAGTCAAAGATTTAATTTGTGAGAACGAGAATGTTACCATATGAAAAGAAAGGAAACGTTCTACAAGGATTGCAAAAGATATTTTTTTCATTCAAGACATTCACACCAAAATTCCCTCAATCTCTCCCTAACCTGCAAAGATTGCTCCACTCCTAATATATACTATTTATTTATAAAGAGCAACTTATGTATTATAGAGAACATATTTAGAAAAACAAAATTTTTATACATACTAACAAGCTCCCTAATTTGGCCATTCATTTTGCTATTCTAAAAAAACATTTATTAATTTCTCTTCATATTTTATTTTACAAAAATTGTTATATATTAATTGACCAATCAATTTAAATGTGGTTTGAATAGTTTAAGAAATAGAGTATTGAAATATGTAATTTATTAAATGCAATCATTGTACATTAAGGATAAAAAGAGTTTGGCTCTTTAAATTTGAAAAATCGGTCCCACTCTCTATTTTAACTTCAATCATGCTACGCATCCAGTCTCAAATGCAAATAAAACACGTGTCGATGCATGATTGGATAATTTGAAAAATTAAAATAAAAACACTCAATCATTTTCTAACACATCAACCTGTCTCTTCATATCCCCTTTTTTAAGTTTGAACAAGTGGCTTTATTCTTTTAACTTTTCTAAAATAGAGAGTATCTTAAAGCTCATTTTTAAAACCAAATCTCTAAAAGAAAGAATGATTTGTATTTAGAGAGTCTTTTTGAAATGTTCTTAAAAAACAAGAAGATGGAAGAACATCTTTCCATCAAAACAAGAAATAGAGATTTTCTTTTATGTACAAGTAGCATTATTCTTTAACTACTAATGATCCACTTTTTAGAAGCACTACTTAATGCTATTATGAAAATCTAAACATTTAGACTATCATTTTATACTTACATAAAAATTCTACATTTGAGTTCTCACGTGTATTATCCGAAATTTGATTTTCTACGAGGCAATTTCGAGATTTAAATTTAAATGTAATTAAAATTCATTGTTGACTTTGATTTATTTTAAAATATGAATTGTAATTTCTACCCGACAGAGGCTTCATTATATCTATTTATTGATTAATAGGATGAATCATTTACAAAAATTTTCTCAAAATGCTTTTGATTTGGCCTCGAATTTTATGCACCAATCATTTATATTATGTAATCTTAATGATATGAAGATTTTGGTCATTTTTACAAAACAAGCATTTTCGTATTTTTAAGATAAAAATGGCTACTTTCGCTCAAGATTACCCTTCATTTGAAACCGCAAAAGTACGCCATTTATTTGTAAGGAATGAAGTCTTTGGAGTCTGCAAATGACATATTGCATCGTGTGTTTTAGTGCATCAAACTATTGTATTTTAATTGTAATTTTCAATTGAACAATAATTATTAAAAATCTGGATAAAAACTAATTCAAAACTCTATTAGAAAGTCACATGCAATGCACATGTTACATACTAGTTGGTACAAGTGTATGTCTACATTCAAAATAATCATGACATTTTTACTACGCTGAATAATATTGCATCAATTATGTATTCTCGACATACATGACGTACAATGCTAGAAAGAATTAACGACTATAACTACATTTTACCTTTTGTTTCTTCAAACTTATTTGTGTTGCACAATTTACTTTCTAGAACAAGCCCTCATAGTTTTGGTGAAGCACTAGAATTGACAAGATTAATCAACTCCTTTCGTAAGATCTTTCCTGCCAGAGTTTTTGGAATAGCGTTGATGAATGTAACACGGCGAATCTTCTTATAAGGAGCAACCTACAACAAAGGATACAACTCACAATTTTGAACCAAAAAAGAAAAGAAAAGAAAAGGAAAGGGAATTTAGATCATTTTTCGTTTTACTGTCATAATAAGTAACTTCTTATTTTCAATTAACAATTTCGTAACATGGTGAATACTATCGATATCATTACCTTATAAAAGCATTGTATTTTTCAATAACTTTCAATGATACAAGTGTATGCATTATTTTATGAAAGGTAATCCGCTAATCAAAGAAATACGTATAACACTTTTCATTAGGTAGCAAAATAATTTAAATTTACGAGCAGAAAAAGAAAAAAGAAAAAAGAAAAAAAAGGATACTACAGAGCAAAGGTAATACTTGATCGTCAATTTAAATATGTGTTAGAATGGGCACCCCAAAATATTCAGAGTTAAGAGAATGATTTACAATAAAAATTAAAAACAAATAGACATGCCTGCTTTGCGATGAGATCCATAATTTGAGCACTCGTGATATTGCTGCCTGGTTTTCTCACAATGTAGGCCATGGGAATCTGCCCGGCTTCTTCGTCAGGATATCTGAATCCGAGTAAGTCATGTCAACGACGAGTTAAAATACTGAACCAGATCTTGATTTAGCAAATGAGCGTAACATTGGACGTTTGTCTAATCATATGACTATTTAGGGCATATTCGCTAGTGATTATGAAAATAATTTTTTGACCGTTAGAAAAAAAAGTGGATCCTATCTGTGAGAGAAGAAGTAAAAAACAACGACTGAAATAGTGAAATAACGATCGAAAAATTGATTTTTTGGGTTTAGATGTTTGTCCTTTAGATATGTCAGACTGAGGTACACAACCAAGTAAATGTGCTAAAAGTCATAGAATCAGCTTAAAACAAGTCGGGTAAGTGATCCAAAGAAGCTATCCCAAACAGACCATTAGAGCATTTGAATACATACGGAATTACTGCTGCATCTTCTATCTCGGGTATCGATTGAAGTAAGTGTTCCAACTCGGCTGGAGGAACCTACAAAGCGTCTCATTCTCTGTCACATCACAACTTTTAACATAAGGAATGAGAGATTCAATAATAGGATTGTTACTAATACTATTACCTGATAAGCCTTGTATTTAATCAATTCCTTCAACCTATCAACGATAAAGAGAAATCCATCAGAGTCGAAATAACAAAGATCGCCCGTCTTTAGCCAGCCTTCTGAATCGAGTGTTGCAGTTGTCGCCCCATCGTCCCCAGCATAACCTGTCAGTGTTCAACCGTTAATGTTTTATTTGACAAAACTATTCAATTTGTATAGAGCTTGTTTGGGAGTGATTTTAAGAATTGATTTTTTGATCGTTAGAATAAAAGTCAGGTCCACCTGTGAGACAAGAAGTTAAATATGATGTTTGGAATGGTGAAATAATGATCAAAAAATCAATTTTTTGGGGCAAAAAATCACTCCCAAACAAGCTCAAAATCAAATCCGTCAATGCATTACCTTTCATGATAATAGGCCCTCGTAACCATAATTCACCATGCTTTCCAGGAGGTAAGGCCTCGCCGTTCTCAGGATCGACTATCTTGGCTTCTAAGTTCTCAGACAAGCGCCCGACGGATCCATATCGTTTAGCCTCATCAGGCCCTATTGCTCGTGTTGCCGCCCCAGTAGTTTCAGTTAAACCATAACCCTAAAAATAATAATAATAATAATAATAATAAAATACTCATTTTCTTATACATGATTGCACTGAGAATTACCACAAAAATCCATTCAAGCATTAGAAACACAATAAAATTACTAGTAAAAGATTTTGAGTCCATTTTTATGAACATAAGAAAAGTTTCATCAAAACGTTCAGTCGAACCAAAACTTGACATGTATTGAACAACCATAAAAGAGTTTTCTTTTCACTTGTGTGCATACAAATCTCCGCAACGATAGATTCAATTCAGGTTATATATCAAACTATATCGAAAGAAAGAAATTTCTCTACTTTCTAAGTTCAATATTTTTCGGAATTTAGTAGAATAAATTAATCTGAATTCGGCATGATACTAACTAATAATTCATGTGCACCTGTATAATTGACAGCGGACTCCATGTCCTACAACGATTAAAATCATTTATCACCAATTTTGTTAAGCTGTCATACCTGACCAATGTCTACATTGGGGAATTTGGCTTCGAATCGCACCAGAACCTCCTTCCCTAGCGGCGCACCACCGCAGCCGAGGCTCCTAAGAGAGCTTAAGTCATATTTCGCCACCAAATCCGATTTCACCATCGCCACTACAAGTGGCGGCGTTACAGGAATAAACGTCACCCGGTACCTCTCCACCGCTTCCAGCATTTTCACAAAGTCGAATTTTTCCATTAGTACTACGCTTTCGCCCAATGCCGCCGCCCTTAATAGCATGAAAAACCCATAAACGTGAAACAAAGGCACTGTAAACAGGTTTGCTGGATGCATATTCATATTCATTTCTTGTTTTCCTTGTTCCTCATTTGCCAACTTGTTGTAGTACAAACCTGCAATCATCGCAATGAAGTTCCGGTGACTAAGCACCACGGCTTTTACTTTTCCGGTGGTGCCGGAGGAGTATAAAATGGCGGCTGGGTCGGATTGTTTGATTTTGAATTTTTCTTCGCTGTTCGAATTATTGACAGATGAGAGCATAGAGAAGAACTCGTGGGAGTCGAGGAGAATAACGGGGAGGTGTCCCGGGAGCTTGTGGGCAGTGGCGGTGGCGGCGAAGGCGATAGAGGGTTTACTGAGTTTAATCTGGTGAGCCAACTCTTCAGGTGAAGACAAAGGATTTGCCGGCGAAACGGTGATTCCGAGTGAAAGAAGTGAGAAATACAAAACCGGGACATGAAGACTTGGCGGTGAGATTATAAATGCGACGTCGTTTACCGAAAGATTTGGATAGAGAGATCGTATAGAAGATGAAAGTGAGTCAACCTGGTGGAGGAAGGCGGTGTAGGTGAGGTGGCTGCCTGTGGCGGCGTCGATGAGAAACGAAGTGGTAGAGAGAGCGGCAGAGGCGGTGTTGGTGGAGGAGTATAGGAGGGAGAGGGTGTAAGAAATAATGGAGAGCGGTTCCGATGGAGGCGGCATAGGCACCGCCTGACGGAGGCTGTGGAAAATCTTGGTTTTCCGGCAGTAGCCGCTCCTAAGGTCAATGCAACAGGATTGAGTTTCAGCCATGAAAATGTAGAGAGAGGAAAAGTACACGGGTGGATTGGAATAGACAAAGATTATGTAATTATGACACTTGATGTTTGTCTCATTCTTAAAAATAATTATTTAAGTTGAAATATATTTATCTGTTAATGTGAAAAATTAAAAAATTAGACTTGGACAGATACGGTGATTAGCATAATGGTGAAATCGTTAGATTTCAGTCTAGTATTTTTCATTCGAATCCAAATTAGGATTTATATAGTTCAAAATAAAAGAATTAAAATTTTATAATAAGGATATAAAAATATTTTAATCGAGTAGATTCAATCCCTATTTGTATTGTTACTTGCAAGTTTGAGGAAATGGGATGATGTGGATTTCTCGGACATATTCTAGCCACATATAAAACTTCTATAGATTAGTTCTACCATAAAAATAGTAAAATATATTTAATACATGACACGCTAATCCCTATAGTTCGATTTAATTTGATATTTTCTATATATTTATAGTTAAGTCAAAATTAATAATCAATTTTAATAATGTATTTTATGAACTCACAATTTTTTACACATATTTTCTTATTTTTTTATTATAAAAATCTACTAAAATCGGATATTTATTTAAACTAAACATAGACATAATAAGATTTATGACAGCGTTTTGGAACTTGAAATGAAGAATTGTTTAAAGACCTTTTCAATAGGACCCTACGACTTTTCCGTTTGAATTATTCATCAATTTTCCTAGCTTTATATCAACAATTTATTTCTATATTTATTTTTTTTGTTAGTCAAACATTGAATTTATGGTCTCAAATCATCCAATAACAAGTCGAGGGAGACTACATGTACAGATAAAACCTTTACGGAGAGTTGATAGATAATACTTAGCAGGGTGGGGTGGAATTAGGATGAGTTTTTTGACAATAAAATATTCATGTGAGATCCACCTCTAATATAAAATTTCTGTGAACATTCTGTAAAACCTTATTCTGTACCCAAGATTAAATCTAACAAGCCATAGAAGTTCAGAATTTCAATCTGGCAGTGATGTTGTCGTTAGAAAGGACCTTGGACCCTTTCTTTTGTTCAAGTATTCATAAGCAGTAAACGA